CATGGAGGGGCTTTGCCCAGGCACTTCCCCTGTAAGTCTGGGCTCTTGGTACTGCTGCCAAGGCGAGAGCAGCCAAACAGATGGATGGGATTTGTTACAGCTGGGATCAGAAGCCCTCGCAGCTCAGAGGAGCAGACCTTCCCTCTCCACGTCTTCCTGTCCTCCCAGCCAGTCCTGTCTGCATTGGTTTAGGAGACAGGGAAGCAGAAATAGCAGGATGGGGAGAGGCTGATCTTTAGAATCAGTGAATGTTAGAGGCACAACAAAAAGGGATGGTGGATCAGTGGAGGTCTCAGCTGGACAAAGAAGGCACCTTCAGATGGGCCTTTTAGGAGAACGTCAATGAAGCAATTATTTATAGGGGCATAGGCAGAGTGAAGAGAATCAACATGGGGGTATTGAAGAACCAGGGACAAGAAATATCAGGAAGCCACTACTGACTCTTAGAACCGAAGGGGCAGGGAGAGGAAATGGTTTTCCTGGAGGCTTTGAGGACTGGATCTGTGGACAGGGACCCCTGGCAGAAGAAGCTGTGATTGTCAAGGGTTCCAGACTCTGAGGAATCAGGTGCAGAGACAGGAAAGGAGCAAGGGAAGACCTATGTCCAAATCCTCTCCTCCTGTATCCTACCAGAGCATCCCAATGGGCAAAGCCAACTGGTAGCCACGTAACAAGGAGCAGGGATGTAGTCCATAGAAGGTCTGCCTCCAGGACATAGAGTGGGGTGGAATGAGCCTGATCATGGGGAGCAAATGGAGAACAGCCCGTACAGATCAGGAATGAACATGTGTTCCATTGCCTACACTGTGCCAGAAGCTCGTGTTCTTAACCACCACACACCATGCTTCTGTACCTCTTCCAAGGAGCGCATGTGCAGAGACTCCAGGAGTCTAGCTCTCTCTTGTGAGTGTGAGACCCACCTAACCTGCTGTCTACTCGACACCTCTCCTTAGACGTCCAGAAGACACCAGGTATTCATATCTCAGACCCAACTCATGTTTTCAGTCCTCTGAAATGTGTTCTCTTCCAGAGCTCCCTTTCTTGAGAGGCGCCTTCATGACGCCTCTGTGGAAGCCAGGCCAGGAGTCATCTTCCATACCTGCCACTCTCCCTCATCCGCACTTTCCAGTCAGCCACCACCTCCTGAGGGAGTTGTGCCTGCAAGATAACTCTCACATGTGCCCACTTCTCTGTCTGCACTGTTTCTGTCTCTGCTCTTTCTGCTCCGCTGTCTACTTCTCTATCTCTGCCTCTGCTTCCCTATCTAGGGATCATGATCTCGTATGTGGACTTCTGCACAAATGCCCCGTCCTCCTGGCTGGTCTTCTTACTTCTATTTCTGTCCATCTCCAGTGAATTCTGCTGTCTGCTGCTGGAACGATCTTCCTTACATGAAAATCTGATCAAGCCTCTCTTCTGTCTAAAATTGTCAGCGTGTTCTGTCCTTAATAAGGCCCAGAACGGTTGGGGTTGGGGTTGGGGTTGGGGTTACGACTTCCTACCCCTCCAGCATGATCTCATGCCACTTGCTTTCAGTGTTTCGGTCCCAGTGAGTGGTGGTGCAGCTCCTTCCATATTCCTTCTCCTCAAAGCCTTCTTTGTTTGAATTCTTCCCCTCCTCTCGTGTTCTCTTCGCCTCGCCCCTCCCCCGCCACTACCTCATCACCTGATTAACTCCTACTTTTTCCAGCCCTTAGTCCCACTACCTACTCCTTGAAGCAAATTTCCATGATTTTCCTAAACTAGGTCATATTCCGCTAAGAGAGCCTCTGGATCCTCTTTCTCCTCTCCTTTGTAGTATACGTCACTTAAAGTTTTTTTTTTAAAGATTTTATTTATTTATTTATTTGACAGAGAGAGACATAGCAAGAGAGGGAACACAAGCAGGGGGAGTAGGAGAGGGAGAAGCAGGCTTCCCCGCGGAGCAGGGAGCCCGATGTGGGGCTCGATCCCAGGGTCCTGGGATCACGACCTGAGCCGAAGGCAGACGCTTAACGACTGAGCCACCCAGGCGCCCCGTACGTCACTTAAAGTTTTTTACATGTATATGTATATCATTTCATTAATCTTGGTCCATCCTGTCTATATGGTGAGCACTTTGCGGGGGGGGGGGGTTGTTTGTCTTTTCTGTTATGGACCGCATGATATATATTGAAACCTTAACCTCAGTATGACTGTGTTTGTCTACTTGGGCTGACATAACAAAATAGCGTAGGTAGGGTGGCTTAAACAACAGACATTTATTTTCTCACAGTTCTGGAAGCTAGGAGGCCAAGACCAGGACACCAGACAGTTGGGGTCTGGTTTGCAAGATGGCTGCCTTCTCACTGTGTACTCACGTGGCCTTTCTGAGCGTATACATGTACGTGGGGAAAGCAAGAGGAGAGAGAGAGAGAGAGATTTCTTCCTCTTCTTATAAAGACACTGATCCTATTGGATGAGGACCTCACCTTTATGGCCTCATTTAACTTTAATTACCTACTAAAAGCCCTATCTCCAAATATAGTCACATTGGGGGTTAGGGCTTCAACATAAGAAATTTGGAGGGACACAGGTCAATCCACAGCAGACTGTATCTGGAGATAGGATCTTTAAGAGGGAATTAAAATTAAATAAGATCATGAAGGTGGGGCCCTAATCAGATAGGACTGGGTGTCAGAAAAAGAGGAAGATCTCTCTCTTTCCCTCTCTCTTTATCTCTGTCTCTGCCTCCCTGCCTCAGGTTCTCTCTCCCTACTATGTGAGCTCACGATGAGCTGCCTGTCTGTAAGCCAAGGAGAGAGACCTCACTAGAACCCAACCATCCTGGCATCCTGATCTCAAAACTTCCAGCCTTTAGAGCTGTGAGAACATAAATTTTTGTTAAGTCACCCAATCTATGAGTTTTGTTTCGGTGGCCCAAGCTAAGACAATACCTCCTGTACTTGTCACAGATACATTACGGTTTTTTTGAAAACACTGTTGAATGGATGCATGAACGAACAGGAAGATGAATGAAGGCATGAATGTTGGCAACCTATATGGGCCCCTCCCTTGGAGGATTTCAGATTATGGCTTGCTCTAAACTTTTGACCACAGTATAGTCCAACTCTTACAGTTTGGGGCCAATCATGCTCATCTCTAGGTTTAAACCATCAGGACTGGGTGTGGAAGTGCTTCTCAGGATTGGATGGTAGCCTCTTGCTGGAGGGCTGTGCATGGTAGGCTTGGAGTAGGTGTCCCATGTTTGGGTTGTTCTTCTCGGTTTACCTTTAAGTAGACCTAATGGAGATATCTAGGAAGACAGCAAGACAGGCAGGTGAGGAAGTTATAATGCCACCACGTGGTCCATTTGTATTGTCAATTGCCTTTTCCTGAGCAAGCATAGATTTCCCCTATGTCCTCAAAGACAGAGCTTCTCACAGAGCCCAGTGCCTAAACCAGCTGCCTGGGTATGAGCTATGCCCCAGATGCATCTGTGTAAGCCAAAAAGCTTACCCGGGAAAACAGGAGCTCCTTAGAAATTGGTGTGGGGATGTTCAGAAGCCTTCTTGTCCAGTCTGGTGAAATCCCTTCAAAGAAACAGGAATCTTTTGCACATACCATCTCCTGGCCTTAGACAGCAGGTAGCTCAAAACTGAAGAAGCGTCCTTGCCTCTAGAGACATAGATGGGGGGAGGGCTGAGCTTGAAGATTTCAAAGTTGGGACTCTCTTTGGGAATTTCTCAGAACAAAGGCAGCGAGGCCATTTAGACAGTTTCCTTAGCTTCCTTCCCATTTCCTCTCCTTGCCTTTTATGTTGCCCCTCTCCTTCCTTCTTGAGCTTTTCTGCTTTTTTTTTTTTCTCTTTTATCTTCCACCTTTTTCTCTCTGCCCTTCTAACCTCACTCTTAGCATTCTCTGGAACTTTTTACCAGTCTCAATTTTGAAACTTTATAAGAATGAGGCTACTAACAAATCCATCGAGGGTATTGATAAAAATGGAGCATTGGAGCCAGAGTTAGAAGGCTTGACTTTGCCACTTGCTAGCTTGGAGTGAGTCGTATGCCATTGCAGAGATCTTGTCTCTCTGCTGTCTCACCTAAATCTGTATGTTCCACTCCCAGGTGCTCAGTTTCCCTTCAGTAATGTTGGACTATTGTACCCAGTGGTTTCCATGTCACAGTACTCCTCAAATGTTTGACTGACAGACTGCTATCTTCCTTCACTGCCACTGTTCTGGTTTAGGCCACCGTGGCCTCTGGCTGGCTACTGCAATAGCCTCTGCGTTGGATTCTCCACACTCTCCTTAGGAATTGTTGTCAGAGGGACTTATTTTGAACATGCCAGTCTTCTGTGAATTTTCAGTGAACAGCTTTCGCCATTAGCATGCATTCCAGACTCCTCGATGCGATTGACAGTGATCTACCTCTCTGGCCCGGCCTTGTCTTCACATGCTCCCTTGGAGCTACACTGAACTCCTGTCAGTTGCTTAAGCATCATGCTCTTTCTGGCTTCGGATCTTTGTACATGGTTCTCCTCCTACCCAGGCAGTCTTTCTTATCCCAAATCTCTTTAGTAACCGTACCCTGATTCTACTCTCTTTGCTAATTCCTATTCATCCTTAAGGTGTCTGTATAAATAGTGCCTCCTCCAGGAAGCCTGCCTTGACTCCCCAGATGGGTGAAAGGACCCTTCTCGGTGCTACTCTGGTACTCTGTACTCTCCTATCACCAAAGTATTGCGGTGTTGGGAATGCCTGGGTATGTGTCCTTCCAAGCTATGAATCCCTTGAATCATGGATTGTGTCTGACTTTTCACCACCCTATCTCACGGGCTTGGGGCACTGCCTGGAACATAGTGTGTGTTGAATGCATAAGTGAGGAATCCAACACATACTGGTACCTGTGGCTTCCATGAGGACCCATGGTATCCTCATGGGTCAGGGAGGGAGCTCTAGGGACTCAGGGTGGCCAGGCCCAGTCCTCCAGGGGCTGGGGGTGGGCCGAGCCCTAACCTCAGCCCCATTGCCCACCCTGTAGCAGCAGCTGAGGCGACGCAGGAGACAGTGGAGTCCCTGATGCAGAAGTTCAAGGAGAGTTTCCGCGCTAACACGCCCATCGAGATCGGTCACCTGCAGCCAGCCCCGCGCAGGGCCTCGGCAGGGAAGCGGAAGCGGAGGAGCAAGTCTCGAGGTAGGCCCTCCCAGCACCACCACTTGCCAGGGTGTCAGCGGGCTGTCCCCAGGTTCTGAAGGTACCGGCAAGAGCTGTGCCCCCTTCCCTTGCTGCCCTGTACTCCCAGAATCATGCCACGGTGTCCCCGATTGGTCATCTCAGCTGAGGCTTGTAGACGGCATACCTGTGCCCCTGGGTGTGGAGTGTCTCTGAGCCCCAGCTGCCTCATCTGAGGCGGGAATGGACCATCCGTCTTTCAGAATGGCTGAGAAGACTGGCAACAATCTATGGAAAATGCCTCACAGGGGCCCCGAACACAGTAGATGCCCTTTACATCGTAGCTGGTGGCACTTTGGAGAGTGCAGGAGAGGTGGACGTTCTCATGGAAGGCGTCCCCAAGCTGGGATACCAGAACAGGTTTTGGAGTTGCTCTTCGATAGCCTGAGTCGTATCGCTGTCAAGAGTAGAAGCACTGTCAATGAGACAGAACCGGATTCAAATGTTGGTTCTACTCTTTTTTTTTTTTTTTTAAAGATTTTATTTATTTATTTGAGACAGAGAGAATGAGAGAGAGAGAGAGCACATGAGAGGGGGGAGGGTCAGAGGGAGAAGCAGGCTCCCCGCCGAGCAGGGAGCCCGATGCGGGACTCGATCCCGGGACTCCAGGATCGTGACCTGAGCCGAAGGCAGTCGCTTATGTTGGTTCTACTCTTAACTAATCATGTCACCTTGGGCAGGTTGCTCTGCTTCTCCATGCCACTCCTCTCTCATAGGATTGTTATGATATCTTAGCACAGTGCCCCACCCAGCATGCAATAAAAAGTAGATCTTTCCTTCCTTCTCCTTCTCTTCCTCCTCTTCCCATTCTCTCCTCCTCCTCCTCCTCATCATCATCACCATCATCACCTCTTTCTTCCTCTGGTCATCTGTATGACTTTGTCAATGGGATGAACCCCCTTATCATTGCTTGGCATCCCAATCCCTTCCCTTTTCTTTACATTCACTCAGTAGCCTACAGCTCTTCTCTTCTTCTGGCCTCTCATGTCTCTAGTTCCTATGAACATAGTTCTAATGACGTCACTCCTCTTCTTCCAGAGCTTTAGTGGCTGTCCAGTGCCTTCAGAAGTGTCTGGGCTTGTGGAAAGGACATTCAAGACCATTGCAGAGCTCTCGTCTCTCTTCTGTCTCATCTAAATCTGTATATTCCACTTCTGTGTTCCTTTCCATGCCATTCTCCCTGCCTTAAATGACCTATCTAACCCTATGAGAAATTGTCATTTATAGACACTTACTCCAGGTAGCAGGCTAAATACTATATACCTCTTTTTTACATTTGATTCTCAGAAACCCTATGTAGGAGGTACAGTGGTAATTCCCATTTTACAGATGATACCACAAGGCACAGGAAGCTGCAGTAACTTGCCCAAAGGGACGCCCAGGTAAGTAGGAGAGCCAGGAAGAACTAAACCGGCTGAGTTCCAAACATTAACTAAACCACTGTGTTCTAAGCTAGTGAGGTCCTACCTGTGTTCCCCAGCTTTATCCTGTGAAATCCCGAACCCTGTGATACGCCAAGGGTCTGCACATTAAACTGAGGTCATATATCAAGGCAGAAGTTGGTGGTGGAGTTGCTTTTTGAAATTCACATAGTAAACCCCAGGTTGAACTGATACATAATGATGCTTAAGTTTCTTTGAAGTCAGCAGCATGCAGTGCTACTCCCAGCCCAGTCAACTTCAACTTGTGTGGCTTTCAAAGAGTCCCTGGATGTCTCTGAGGCTCAGTCTCCTCTTCTGTACAATGGGTTGTCAATCCCTACCCCAGATCGTTGCTGTGAAGATCGGATGAAGTGGTGAAGGTGGACAGCATGGAATGCTCAGCTAATGTGTGTCAGGAGCTGAATAAATATTGTCATGTATTTGTCCTATCTTATTTTTGTTCAGGGTCATTTGTAGTTTCATTCAGCCTTACCTATCCATCTTTTGTCTTCCATCGTTCACCAAGAATTCCCCTCCTAGATCCTCCCTGCAAATATAGCCCCCTTGAGTACAAGTGACTCCCAGTCCATAACCTCCCCTCTGTTCTCACTGCCAGTCTGAATTCATTTCCTTAGTGTCCTATCCAAAACATTTGCTATACCACTGAATTCTTCCCCTGCCAAATCCCTCTTTTGCACCATAACTGTCTTAATGAGGACTCTACTCTTGGGCATTTGGGCTGTTTCTGATAATTCACCATTAAACAGTGCCATAAACGATGCCACATGGAACTTTTTTTGGTTGGGGCGGGGACATCAAACTTGTCCATCAAACTTGGCCTTCACTCTTCAGGCAGAATTTCAGAATTTGCTTATTAATGAAAATCTGTTTGACTTAGATGATGATTGGATATCGAGTTATTTTGATTTACAAGTCAAATTGGGCCTAAGAGAATTAATGGGAGAAGAAATGCATTTTCTCCCTAAATGTATCTTGAATCTGTCCCCCCCTTTCTTCATCACCATTATGACCGTTGCCACCTCTCAACTCCCGCTTGCAACTATGCCCTCCTTGAGATTCTGTCTCCCCAAAGTAGCCAGAGGAATCTTTTTAGAAACCTAAACCAAATAAGGTCTCTTTCTGATTAAAATCATTCAGTGGTTTTCCTGTTGTCCTTAGATTACAACCCAAACTACTTGCCAATCTCCTGTTCCATCTGGATCTGACTTCTGCTCTCTTGACTCACTTGGCATTTCCTTGTGATCCAGCCACACTGCCTTCCTTCAGATTGCAGGAACCCAGCACATGGTTCCCCACTTTCGAATCTGACAACTTGCTGTCTCCCCCTTGCTGTGTTTCTTTACACCCTCCCCACCCTGGCTGCTTTCCTGGCTGTTCTCCCACCATTCAGCTCTCATCGCAGATATGAGCTCCTCCAGACTGTCTTCCATGACCACCCAGCCTAATGCTTTCTACCCCAAGACGTGCTATATAACCCTTTTTTCACTTGTTCCATAATAATGTGGTCTAAAATTATTTTTCCTTGCTTACTGTCTTCCTCTCAAAAAATGTGTTTCATATTCATAAACCTAATACATAGAATGTGCAGAACGTGTTTAATAAATATTTGTGGAATAAATGAGTGTATTAACCTCAAAGATCATTCGAAAGTGGCTCAGTTTTATAACTTCTGAATTGGTGATGTAGGAGGGATCCAAGATAAACCAAAGCCTCTTGGTACAGACCTCCAGGGAATCTTGTTTCCCCTAGAGATAGACTCACTGATGGATAGCACATTAACTGTGCTCAAGTGGATGCTGTTAAGGCAATTTTCAAAATGGCTTAATAACATTGTGCTCGTGATTTTACTGCCACCATTGGATAAGGTTTTTTGCAAGAGAGACTAAGGATAGCGTGTGCCAGCCCCGCAGTTCCCAGCTCACATGCTTACCGCCATGGGTCAAGATTTTCTTGGACTGAAGAACTCCATGGCCCATAAAAGTCATAGAAATTCTGCATTCTCCTTCTGTCTCTTGGAAATTGCCAAATGCATCTTCAACTCTTGAAGATCCTAGAAAGTCCTGTAGAATAGAAAGCTGGGCTTCTTTGTTTACCTCCACATCTGTGCAAACGTCTTGACCACAGACTCTGTCCGACCCCAGCCCCCACCCCCCCCAGCCGGAACAGTTATTCTCATCTCAAGGAACAGAGACGATCCTAGACATGCGATGTTGGAAGTGCTCCGTCTGCCCACACTGACCCTCGGAAGCCCCAGATACAGTCCGATGGGTCTGGATTCTCGGTCTGTCACTGCCCGGCTCCTCTCCCAGCCGCAGAGGCAGTGTCGGGCCTTCTGGCCCAGAGTGGGAGCACCTGGCCTCTGTCTGCTTCCGTGGGCTTTGTGCCCAGGCCGTGGGGCTCAGCGGTTTGCAGCAGATGTAGTGGGCAGTGGAGAACCAGGGTCGTGGAGTGAAGCACATGGTTGAAAGCAGCTCGGATGTGTGTCTGTGGCTCTGGCTTCCTCCTGAGTGGCCTCGTGGATGCTCAAGTGCATCATCCTTAGGCGGACAGAGGAAGGCAGTGGGGGACTCCAACAGGGTTTTATGAGGCAGCTGTTGGGCAGGCACTCCCCAGCGTCCACAGGCAGTGAACAGTGAATGTGTTGGAGCTAAACTAAAGCCGGGGAAGATTGCTTGTGATATGAGGAAGAGCATCCTGAAGTTGATGAAGTTTAGCTAGTGGTTTAAAAGTGAGGCTTTTCTATTTGAAATTGAACTAACCACCATGGGCTAACTGAATGAGCTTAAGCAAATGAAGAAGCTGTGTTAGCTCCCAGCTCTGCCCCATGTTCTCTGGGCCACTGCCTCTGACCTGGCTGAGGTTCCATTATTCCTCATCCAGAGTCCTGCAACAGCCCCTTCATCCACAAATCCATCTTCTACCCTGGGGGCTGGAGCAATCCTTTGCCAACACACTACATCGGGCCATGTCACTCTCCTGCCTACATTTCCCTGATCCTCTGTCACTTGCCTTGGGGGCATCTCAAGCTTTTGTGGGGAAGTCTTCCTAAAGACATGTGAGAATCAACACACTCCCAAAGGGTCTATAGCTGTATTTGAAAGACATCGGTCATAAACCCCAAATTCCAGGTTCCACCTAAAAAAAATCCATGACATTCTATTTCATAACATGCATATACTTGTTTTAGTTTAAATCATGCTACCTCATTTTTTTGGTTAAATTATTTATCATTTTCTCAAGTCTTTAGGCAATATCGATGTCCCAGGAAGAAGAACCAAGCTTACGGTGTACCGTCTTCAAAGGGTTTCTATAGGAGCAAATGAGACAATGCTTGTAAAATAGGGAGCATAGAGCCCAGCAAAAGGTGCACATTGAATATGTGTGTTCCATTGTTTTATTTTTATCACTACTGTTTTATTATACTTTTACTTATATCAGTATCATTACCCATTTGGGGTACACTTACTCCGTTTTAGAAGCAAGAATCTATAAGATGAAAGGAACATGCCTAATAGGGTA